ATTAAAGATTTCATCATCCATCTGTCAATTTTCCCATTAGTATGCATTTCCTTGAGCATATTCTTCAGTGTCCCTGCGATCTTCATGGTTGGATCCTTAATATTTAATAAGTGTTCCAGTCGGCAAGGATACTTTCCATTTTTTCCGTGTACTGTTTCCTGTCCGGAGTTATTTTCGTACCTTGGCTTGGCTACCTAAGATGCTCTTATTCAAATCCTAGAGTTCTGAAACCTACTCATTTGGACTACAGAATGGCATGAAAATTATACATTTATTTTGTCCCCATCGGGTCGTATATGATATCTAAGACCGGCTTGTTTGTAATATAAATTCAAAATGTGATTTTAAAAGATACTTTAATAGTAACAAGACAAAGAAATTTGGTATTAGGGCGGGATAGTGAGAGGAAAGGGATATGGGCCTTAAAAGATGAAATAGGGCTAAGGTTATTATTCACATTGGACCATTTGGCAAGACAATTCGATCGGGAAGGAAACGAATGAAAAGGTGAGAAACCAACAGTGGAGAATAAAAGCTATGGAAAAATGAGTTCATTGGCTCATCATAACCAATAGGACCAGGGAAACACTTTACATGACGATGAGAAGTTAGTGTGAGTGTGCTTGAATGGAGTGATAAATGATTAATTAAGCGAGGGAACGCTGTCCCCCTCCCAGGTTATACGAATGGTGGGCCATTTTGTGACAAGGCACCGGTGCATCGGGCTGGAATCTGGCGGATCAGTCGATGTCAATTCCTCTGTAGGATCCAACAAACAAGCCTGACCATAAGCATAGCGAACCTGTAGAAGAAGAGAAGTGGATTAGTCCCGCTTAGTCACAAGCGGCTAAGTTATAAAGTAGTCGACCAAGAAAGCCAAACAGTTTGCTATCTGCGAGGCCTAAATCAGGGTTTGGCAAACGACTATGGCTTCTCAGAAATACATAAACGCAAAGCAAAATAGCATTGGGCGCAAGTTTATAAGCTACCATATCGAGTGAGTGAGGATGATAGTTTCTAAACCAAGCTATACTAAAAAATAATTTGGAGAAAACTAATGACAAAGAATGGTAATATATTATATGCTCATCAGCCAGAAATTACGAAATGTAAACGCCATGATAATCTAAAACAAATAATCTGCACTATTCTCTCGGGCTGTTACCAAGAAAGATTTTTAATTATTCCAAGACGCGATGAATTCCGAAGACGTATAGAATGGGCCAAAAACACGTTTGTATAGGCGAGTAACTTGACGCATTTGCAACATCTAGGGTGTGATAGATTGATCACACATCTAGTCTCATCGGTGTGCATTTGAAAGGATTGCTTGAGAGACTGAGCCTCTGGATTCCCCATCTATTAACTATATTTTCATAGCCTGCCAAGAGTGCTCATTGCTCGAAAATTAAATAGACTTACACCAAAACAGACCATCATCATAATCCCAGCATAAAAGAGTCCAGCTGCTTTATGTACGTCGGAGCCACTACGCATATTAACATAAAAAATAAAAAAATTTTCTTAATGGTTTCAGTGCTTTAGAGTGGATAAAAGTTAGTTAAACTCGTTTTTATAATGCAACATTGGTTGCTTTTATAGTCATACTCTGAATGCCTCAGGTATTATCACATTCAAAGACGTCGGCGATGTTAGAGAAAAGGGAATTTCTCCGCATTAATCGAGATAGTGATGCCAAATAGATTGTCAAATAAATACCCCAGGACGTGCCAACCGGCCTTCATAGAGCTCATCTCATAAAAAAATAATTGTCAATGATGCGATTTCCTTTGCACAGCCTCGATAAGGTGTGCTACAGGACTGAATTCGAGCATGCTTCTGAGCGACCAAAATGAAAGATTTCACCTGATTTGAACTAGCCACGGCG